TATCATTGAGCCGCCATTACATGGCAATAATGGTTTTCTACTCATCCTGATTCTACCACAGTCAACGGTTTGGATCCGGTCAGGTCGGGTTCAAACCCAACTCCAATTCCAACCCAATCAATAAACAAGTTTATTGGACCGGTACTTTATGGAGCTGCAGGGAGCTTCGTACCTCCCAAGACGACCCGACTGAGTAACCATTTTTACTTATATTCGTCCTTCACTCATTAGTCACTACAGAAGCGGGGATCGAATTGGCCAATTGTGTTTGGCCATTTGGGTGGATTGAGGGTCGGGTCAAAGTGAGTGAGTTGCACCTTTTTTTATTCTTTTCAGAGAGGAACCTCGATCAATAGCGGTAAGCCGGTAAGGCCAGATAGCCCGATTTTTTCATCATTCTAATTAATTAATCTTGTCTCAGTTAGGGCCAGTGAACTGCTCATCCTTTTGTCATTTGAGAAATTTCTGTTCATGATAATTTGGAATTTTGGACCAATAATTTATTGCTTAAGTTACAGAAAATGGAGCTGTTGGCTTGGCTACTGAATAACAGAATAAGAATATTTTTGCTTTTTGGACATATGTGGACAGTTGGTCAAAAGTAATACTTGTGCTTTTAAAGCTTTCTGTTTGGCTCTTGTACTTTTTGGGGTCCTTTTTATTCATCAATTAGGTCGGTATTCATGGCATTCATCCTTTCAAATAAAAGTTATCAGGTAAAAACCTGGCAGTAAAATTGTTAAAGAAGCTATGCCTTAATGAAGAGTGCCAAAACGCCCACTGTCCACTCAATTCCTTTAAATTGAAATGATTACATCCCCAACTTATTTTTAATTCATGTAAACAATGAAATTCAAAGGCTGAAGAAAATCCCTTTCTACCGCAGAAATGAACTCAATGCATGGAATTGAGAAACATGAGAAATTGACACAATTCTTCCATCAATTCCAATTTTAGTCTGAATAGAGCCTCCTAGGAACTGTATGGATTTCTGCAATATAGGAAGGGGGCCATTTGATAACGGGGCCGATGTGGCTGAACAGCTTATTACTTTGTCTTTTAGTGGATAAATAGTCCTTTAATGACAACAAAACATCCCATGCATTCAGCCATTGAGAAACTCCCAACCTACTTTACTTAATGACTCACTAAAAGACAGAGGAAGAAGTCATTCAGTTCAGTCATTTCATTTGTTATCAAACAGCTTGTCAGCCTCTCTCTCTCTCTCTCTCATACTATTTTTTTAACATGGGATATTTTTCTAATGTAGGAAATCAAATCCAAGTCTTCATTTTGGGAGGGATGCTTTGGTCATAATGGGGACAATAGAAACTAGCTACTAAATCACTAATTCAGATATTATTTTGTTTTCCTTACACTAATCTATCAATTTTTGTCACGTGAAAGGGCCTTGTAGCTGATCCAGACTAACCATTGAATAGGGGATTCACTATATTAAATCATATACCCCATTACCCTATTTTGATTTGGTAGTTTTGATCACATATGCCACTCAAAATTTTAAATTTCTCAATATAAAACTTTATTGTTAGACTTCAATTACATTGTCTTTATTAACATTGGTTGCATGTTAAATTTAGATTTCAACCAATTACATTAAAATCTATTTAATTTTCATTGGCTTACCTTTTATAAAGTGTATTTTTACGTTTAACAAAGTATATTTACAATCGTGTTCAACCAATAATGTCTTTTATTGTACAATATAACAAAATCTATGGTGCAATGGATGTACCATAGATTTTGCCTTCTCATAGTTTATAAAAGAGGGTTTATTTTGCGCATTTGTGAAGGTATTTTACATGTGATGAGATAAACCTTTTTTGGGGATACTAGAGAAAGGATATTAAGCCCCTTAGGCTGCATTTATTTTCCGTGTAAATGCTCTTTTACACCGATGGAGTTGAGGCACGATGGTTCGGTAAGAGTGTAAAATATGGACCGGTCATTGTGTTGATTTACACTCGTCCTGTTTGGTTACGTCAACGTAAATGGAGTTTACATTTTCTGATTTGTTGCAGTGGGAGATGGTGCAGAGGAGGAGAAGCCGAAAAGGCGAGACTTAACGGAACTTGAGGCGGCATAGAGTAGGTCACTGCGAGGCAACCAATATAACAATTAACAGTCCATTGCTTGAGAAGCTGAACCACATTCACTGTTGAAGGAAGGTCGTTAGCCTTTTTTACCTGAGACTTGAGACCTTGCATCTGCACACGTTTTGGTAGTCTTTTTTACCTGCAAAAGAAAGAATGGAGATGATTAATAGGAAGAAGGGAACTGTGAAACCTTCTATGCCCTGGTTTTGTGAGAAATAGAGCACGAATGAAGAAGAAGAAGAAATGCTAAAACTTTCTTGTGGCTGGTTTTATTCTATTAAACGCTCTCCCTCAGGGAGGGAGAAGAGGAGGAACAGGTGGGAATGAATGAGGGTCTCCTCTCAAGGGTGAGTAAAGACTGAAGAGTTCAGTGAGGAGGGTGTTAGGGTGTAGTGGAGACCAGAGAAAACATCGAGGCAGGTGGCAACGGTGGAAGAGAAAAAAAGGGGGGGAGAACCGGAGAAGAAGAGAGAAGGAGAAGAGAGAGAGAGAGTGGACGATGCATATCGATGTATTTATTACATCGATTCTTGATTTAAATTTAAATTAAAATATATTTTTATATCAATTCTCGGTGTAAAATTACATGTTTACCAAACGTTAGTAAAATCGAACTGGGGTGTAAAATTTACCCTGGTTTGATTTTTCACCCCAAACAAATGTAGCCTTAAGGTTTCAAAAAGCCCTTTAGGCTCAGTTTGGAAAGAGTACAAATGCAAGTATGTACCGTGCAAAATTTTATATTTTGTATATATTTGTACTGTACACATTTGTATTTGTACTCCTTCCAAACTAAGCCTTATATGCAGTTGGAAAATAAGCCTGGATAAGTGTTTTTTAAGAAACTAGTCTATTGTGAATAAGCTCAAAAAAGTTGGCTTTTTTTTTTCAAGCACTTTTTCAAAAATCGTTTATTGCATTTCTGGCCCATCTTGGTCGTCTATATAATTTTCAAAATACCTGCCTGTACCACCCTACTTGAAAGAAGAGCTTTTTCACCAAACACTTATAAACACTTATTAGGATAAGCACCTAGCTATCCAATAAGCACTCTTTAAACAGGGGCTAAATTATTCATTAAGCAAAAGAAAAGGAATCCTGCATAATATCATAATCTAAGAACAGAAGAAGACTTCACATCCTAGAAAAAAGCTAGGAAAGAAAAAAAAAAAAAACAGAAAAAAAGGAAGAAACAAAAGCAAGCACAACTAGAAAGGTAACTAAACTAAACTAATGAAAGGGTCCCTACACTTCAACTATTTCTAATTCTAACATAGAAGATTTGGACCGTTGAGGGTGGCTCATCAAATGACCCGACCAGCAAACTTTGATCTCAGAGAGAAAAGGGTCTCCCAATCAGCTCAAGTGTGTAGCCACCCTATGTGGAGACTCCTTTTGACAATCCAGATAGTCCATCAGATAGGAGATCAGATCAGCAATATATTCACTCCCACGAAAAATGAAAAGGGTGGTCCTTCTCTAAACCAAGTTGCCATGTGAAGGATCATTAGGTTGTTTTGGGAAGGTAAACTACCCAACTAGCAGCTAGCAAATACTCCATTAGAAAGAGTTTAAATTTCTAACAAATATTATATATATATATATATAATTAGAATTAGAATTATTTGATTGATCTGTTTCTTTCTTCTTTAACAATGGGACCTATCTGATCATAGGTCCTGATTTTCTTAACATTGACACGTGGCAGCTTATGGGAATATGCCACTATTGTCATAATGAGGGCGTTCTCATTGTATCATGCTTTAAAAAAAAAAAAATCCTGATAACATATTGGAAGGTAGTTGAGTGAACCGAGCGTTTTAAATTATTTGTGGTATAATATAATCTTAATTTGCTTGGAGATACAAGTGAATGCATGGTACGAGTCCGGCTGTCTGGGGCCCAACCAAAAGCTAGGAGAAATTGGCCGATTTTGGGGGTGGGGATCAAGTCAGAACCCTCAAGTCAAGCATGTCCCCAATTGTATATGTCATCACTCATGACCAAGCTTGGTTTACCCTAAGCAGACCTGATCAAACTGGACAATTCTCGGTTAATTATTGCCTGGTTAACCAGCTCCAAACTTCTTCAGTCTCAATTAGAAGCAAAACTGGAAAATTTACTTTGTATATGTTTGGTTGCATGGGCATTTATTGGTGGTGTGTTTCTTATATAAATGTTTAATTAAGAAACGTTATTTAAGTATTTATTATTTTTGTTGGTTAGTTGGTTGTTTCAAGTAATACGTTATAAAGTTACTTTTCACTCGGGTTTAAAATGTGTCATATAAGTTATTTATTTCAATAAATGCGAGAGCATTGGGGGAACGGGAGTTTGAAGTCCCCCCCCCCCCCCCCAATACATAAATCTAAACGATTTTGTTTTTTAATATTAAAACCAAATATTGATTTTATGTGTATAATAAAGGCCAATACCTATGTAACAGTTATGTGAAAGCATTTTTTCTAATAAACACCCACAAAACCAAAGGTAGCCTGTGGCATGGTTTTGTTGGTTTAACTGGCGGTTCAAATTTTCAATATGCCCTATGCAAAATCCATCAAAAAAACTATGATGACTCACTGGTTCAGGAAGTGAGATAGAGAAGTTTTAAGTCTGAACCACCCCTGGCCCTGGCTTGGTCCTTGGGCTACCATGCGTAAATAAGAAAAAAAGGAGAAACAGATGTATCTACTTCTACATCTCATCTTTGATAGGATCTCAACCGTCAAAACGGGACCAAGACATCCCCTCTTCAACACAAACACAATTCTTTCCGGGGAGGATTCGTAAATCCAACCCACCAAGCTATTCTTAGGAAGTTATGGAGTATATTCGTTGTCTTTTATAAAGCGGACTTCAAATCCACGACAAAGTCCAATTTAATAATTTCTCTCAAGAGAGAGAGAGAGAGAGATACAAATAGATAGAAGAGTCCATTTACCGTATTTACTCGTATAATTTTTCTAAACCATAATAATTTCTTCCGGAGAAAGATTGAAACAAATATATCGAGGGAAGAGGGGAATTTTTTGAGATCGAACGTCGCAAGGAAAAAAAAAAAAAATAGAGAAGGTCAGTGGGCATGCATTCGTTTTATGTTCTTCAATTCGATCCAGTTTTTAGGGTGTAGTCTGCTTACTTTTAAAATAAGTTTTAAATTCAGCGTTTCTTCTGCACTGATTTAGTTTATTTTGTTTTTGTTATTTGATGAAAATTTGAATCTGTTGCAGATAGGAGTTCAATTTGTGTTTGTATGTTGATCATAGTTTTTGGTTATATATGTATTTTTTACTTTTGTAATTTTTGCGTCTGCGTGTATATTTTTGTTTATTTCTGTGAAAGTGTTAGTAGACCTTTTTTGCGTTGGTTTGTTATTATCTGTTGTTAACGAGTGTAGATTGTTTTTGCATCTTGTTAGCGTTTGTGTTCAACAGTTTGTCTTTGTATGATCAGGTTTTTAGTTTCTAGGGTTATTTGTGGTTTGTGTGCTAGATAGTAGATCGTTGTAATTTCAATTGCACTGCCTTATGAATTTTCTTAGAGCAGGTATTGTAGCTTTGTAGGGTTTGTTTCTTTTCTTTTCCTTTCTTTTTTCTTTTGGTCCTGGCTTTTCTTTTGATCCTCACATACCTATTCTTGGAAGTGGACATATTATTCTTTATTAAAAATTAATTTTTAAGGCATAATCATTTGTTTTAAAGCACACTTATATATTTAGATAAATAGATAAGTATGGTTTTTCCTTAAAAGTAATGTTTTTTAAGATTTATTCGTTTCTCTGCTTCTTGTTGGCTTTGCTAGTTATAGTTCTAGATTTCTATTCTGAATCTACGATCCTCCCTCTTGAATCTTGAGTCCATGGCCTGCTCATATATTTAGATTGAGTTGTTTTCTTCTTTTTCATTGGTTTTCTTTCTGTTCAGATAAGAGGAAGTTCTGATTATTTGGGTTGAATTGTATTTCTTGCAATTTGTTCATTTAATTGTGATATATATACATATATATTTTTTTTGTTATATTAAATTTATTTTCTTGGTTGTGACAGGTATTTTTGTGCTATAATATGGCCATCATGAGATTCAAGAAAGGGAGTAAAGTTGAGGTTCTGAGCAAGAAGGAGGTGCCTTCTGGCTCATGGCGCTGTGCTGAAATAATCTCTGGAAATGGGCACAATTATGATGTTAAATATGATTTATCCTCAGGCATCACCAGTGAGGCGATTGTGGAGAGAGTTTCTAGAAGATCTATTAGGCCTTGCCCTCCTCAGGCAGAAGGTGCAGATAATTGGGTGCCAGGTAACCTTGTAGAGGTGTTTGATAATAGCTCATGGAAAATTGCAGTAGTTTCCAAGGTTGTCAGTGGGAACTACTTTTTTGTTAGACTTCTTGGGTCCTCCCGGGAATTCAGAGTCCACAAATCTGATCTCAGGGTGCGACAGTCTTGGCAAGATGACAAGTGGATTGTGGTTGGAAAGGTAACTCTTTATCTGATTTTGTTTCACTCTGCAGCTTAATTTTTGATAATTATTGTTATTTCTGTTCAATAGCTTCAAAAAGTGTCTTAAGAGATTTTCTAATTTCTATATACCCTAGTTGACAAACTTTTCTGTTTTATGGTTTATTCAGCCATGTCATATATGAGGTTTTTTAATCATTATATAATTATTTTTCTGGATTTTAAGTTCATAACTTTTTACAGACAGGTTCACTGTTTACAAGTTGTTTTTACTTTTATTTAGGTGCATATTGCCCTTCAAAAGTTTGCGCATTTCAGGGTTGAATATATTATTTCTTACGTAAATATAAATTTTGATTGATTATGTTCATGTTGTTCGATCTAGTTATAGCTTTTCTATGGTTGTTTTAAGTTTCTATTGGTGTCTGAGGGCTTTGTTGGGAATCTTCTCTGTACACAAGTATTATACTTGCTAATGCAAGATTGATAATATTTTTATGTGCTTTTGTCATTCTTTGTATTGACTAATTATTTTTATTTGATTCTTACAGGTTTCTGGGAATTGTAAAGATGGTAAACTTAATAAATTGTCAACATTGAAGTATTGTCAGAAGTCGAGCTTCCAGTTCCATGAGCTGCAAAAGGAGAGAAGGGCAGAACTTCATGCAGGGGATGATTGTTTTCCTGTTGAAGATAACATTGGTTTTCGGGAATCCCACATGGTTTCCTCAAGAACTTTGAAGAGAGGATCACCTTATTGTTCATCTTATGAGGAAGTATATGCAGGAAAACCCCACAAAATTAGAGCAGTTGAAAAAGGTTCTAGGTGCCAACGACTGATTTCCAGTCATCCGTCTTCATTACACGAAAAGGTAGATGCTGTTGCTTCACCACAAGAATTGATGGGTGAAAAATACATGCATGCTTCCTTTAACAACAGAACTACTGGATTTTCTGAAATGGAACTCCAGAAGGGAAAACAAAATGGTGGTGTCAAGTGTTTTCTTCAAAGAAGCTTAGAATCTAATGATGCCGAGAGTAGTGCATGCTCTGTTGGTAGTTGTAGTGCTAATAGCATCAGTCCCTATACGTTGTACCATCAATCTTTTACAGATCCTAGTGAGGATAGGGAGAGCCATTCTGGTGATGCCCAATCTTCTTGTGGGTGGGGATATGAGAAAAAGTATTCCCTTCCCATGAAAGAGGAAATGACAGCAGAGGTCCATAAATTAGAATTGCATGCCTACCGCTGCACTATGGAGGCATTATATGCTTCTGGGTCCTTAAGTTGGGAACAAGAAGCTTTACTAACAAATCTACGTCTTATGCTCCATATTTCAAACGATGAGCATTTGAAGGAACTAAGGAGCCTAGTTTCTTCTGAAGCAAATTTTCCTATTAGTTGATGGGAAAGGAATTTCCTGGAACTATACCTCCCCCCCACTACAACACAAAAATCCTTTAACCCATTAGGCTCAATTCCTTCTTTCTTTATTGCTCTCACAGGTCACAACATTGCAAGGAGCAAAATGAGTTGTTATATTTTGTATCTCCTGTCTTGGAAAATTCAATGTAGTTGTCTAGATGTGAGTTACTTTGAAAATTTTTGTACCATAAACTCTTACGGAGGAATGAAATCTAGAATTTGAAAGGTTTCCAGGTGTATCCTGATGTTAATTGCTGTTCTTTTTTTTGTGGATTTGTTGTTGTTTTAATATTGTTCCAGTTTTTAAAAGGACTCTCTTATGCAAAGAGGACTTATTTTAACAATTTATTTGGCAATACCAAGATAAAAAGTTGCTTTGGGTTGTAATTTTGAAACTTGACGTGCAGTGACATAAAGATCAAGCGATTTATACTTACAGTGTCAAATAAAGCCCATAGTGCTGTATTGTCAAAAATAGCATACTATTTTGTGAAATTTATGTAAACCATTGATAAAAAATCATTGATGCAACTAGTTTCATTTTGTGCATCCATGTAGTTATGTTGCACATGGAGCAGCAGCTCATTTAATTTTCAACGACAGTGCTTATATTTGAACATGTATAAAACACTTAAAGGGTTTTATCCTTATGGTTGGGTTTAGAGATAACATTTTGAATTTACATGATATCAAGGATGTAACTTAATATTCCAGAGGCCAGTGGAATTAATGCTTATTGTTTATATCCCTTGTTATCTTTTGTTCTATTCCTTTGAAGTGAAAAAGTTGATTTTGGAACAAATTAATAATATGCAGCTTCTCTATGCTTTCTCGCTTCTGATTTAAACATGCTGCTGGCTCCATTTTCGAATAGTTTAATGTCCTCCATACCATTTGGCATCATAAGGAACTTAATTTTGAGGATACTATTGATGCTTCCCCTGCATTTTCCAGGGCCAAAGTTGGGGGCTTGAACACCTTGCTTCCAAAGGTCTAAAGATGATTGTGGGGTTTTGCCACCTCTCCCGGTGTACACAATGGGGCAATATCTGCATCCAATTCTCTACAAATAAGTCAGTGTATGATGAGCAATTGGTATCATTAACTTCTTTAGTTCCTTTATTCCTTCCATGTTAGGCAAGCTGCCGCCATTTTTCTGTGCTGAAGGAAGCTAGGAAGACACTTATAAAAATCTTCTTGTGGAATGTCCTGATATGTGGATGCTTAAAAGGTTTACTCATCCACTCCACATTATTGCATGTTTCCTTCACTTGTTGGCATATTCCTCTCCATATGTTACATGGTTTTATCACCACGGGAAATTATTCAATTCTCATTGATTTAGATATGCTATTCACTATTGGACTTGTTTGGAAATGTCATATCTGGGAAAAAGAAGAAAAAAATCTACTGAAACTTGGGGTTAATGTTTTATGAATTTTGGTATTGAATTCAGTGAAAAGAGGGAAAATCACAAGTGTGCAATTCAATTTTGTACTACATTGAAAAAAACTGATAAATGAATCATGTCAATGTGATTTTTTGTATCAGAAACTTTTTGGAGGTTATGGCTATTTAATTTATCTTTGTTACCTTAAATGTAAAAGTATAGAGTTGATGAAGTAAGGGAATAATGGTGTCTTCAAAGAAACTAAGCATATGTCTGAACTTCCTATGTTTTGTCAGATGAGAAGTAGCAGGTTATTTTCCTGCTATATATAATATGAAGTCAAACAATCTATAGTTGAAAGTCTTGAAACTGCATTTATTTAGAACTTAGAAACAAAGCAACCAACTATTACTTTGAGAGGAAAATGCATGATTGAAGGAACTAAATGGAACCACATACATACAGCCTGATTAGCAAATCACTGACTAAAAACATAGATATATCCATTCCTTTCCTTATTCCAGGTTTCTTATTTCCTGTTTTCTTCCTTCCATACTATAAACATCAATCCATGATTCACTGGTTCCCCCTGGAGACCTGGAGGCCATAGTGTTGCTATTATAGATGTTTATTATAGAGGTGCAGACAATATCCATTGCATCTGAAGGAACTTTAGCATGCGCGCATTCATTTTATGTTCAATGTGAGGGTTGTTTTTGTTATGGTCTTCCCTGCTATAAGCATCAATGTGTGACCCAGAGACCTTACATCTCATTCTTTGATGTTTATTACAGAGGTGAGCTTAACATTCATTGTATCTTGAGAAACTGTAACAGTATCAACTCCCAAGACTTTATCTCGGTGTGAGTGTGGCTGTATTTAATGTAGTTATTGTAGAAAACTGTCTAATATAATAATCTAGTTGGAGTGAGGAAGTAGATCCTGATAAATTGCCTAGAACAAGTACAAACTTTTCACCTTCACCCTAATAAAGAAGATTCAACATATAACTAGCTCACCCCAGCTAATAGCATATCCCAAAAAGGTATTAACAGCATTCACTTGCCTTCCTCTTCACTCCTTCTGCACCCAAAAAAATAATATTAATAATATTAATTAACATAAAACACCAAGGAGGGGGAGGCAATAAAATTCGTTGTATAAGCTCCTTCCCCAACTAGAGAAACAAGACAATCCATTAGAGAGGTAGCGGGTTTTTTAATCCATCTATGATCTGAATCATCTCCCCTTATCCACCTAATCACAACTTGATAATCTCCCGTGATTTAAACTATATTATAACCAATAAGATAGTCAATCTCAGCCATTGTGAGTAGATAGCAACTTAGCATGAAGTTTCCACTGCTGCTAATAAGGCTTGAATATAATGCCAACACTTGCCTTCATGGTTCTGGGAGAACCCTTCCCATGATTGATCTCCTTGGATTTCCCAAGCTGCGTTCATTAAAATTTAGTTTACACTGTCATTTTTTTATCAAAATAATTGATATTATGTTGCAGCAAAAACGTACAAGACTCCATAATTGATATTATGAACACATCCAACTCTGCCATCCAAATAACACCTCTCCCAGCCGTCAGGACAAACAGGGTAATGAGATTCAGGAATTGTATCAAAAAAAAAAAAGGATTCAGAAGTTGTACATTAATCAGGATAAGAATTTCCCTACTTTCATCTCCTCCTTCGACCTCTTGTGGCACAGTTAATTGTTTTCCCTTTACCGCCCTTTTTCACTCATTTGCTATTGTTTTTCTACCAATATCTTCTGAAAGCTTTAGACAATTATTCCTTTTCCAATTGTATGAACAAAGTAGTTGAAAACTTAAGCTAGTTCCTGATGCTCTTGCAATCATTCCCATGAGACTCAATTTCCTGCCAAGTGCTCTTCCATCCAAAATTTCTGGATTCCCAATATGGGTTTCAAACTGTCCTTGATGTGCCAACCTGGATATCTTCCTCTTGAAAAAATAAATGTGAGTTTGCTTAATTGCGAAAGGAGGCATTCAAGTATTTTGTGATACTCTTATTGTTGAAGATGTGTTTGCACATTGAATTTCTGTTACTTGGGTGTAACTGGATTCATGGGACTGTGCAAATTGAAACAGAAAGCAAGCAGATATAGACATCAGGAACCATTACTTGGTAATGGGCTAAGGGTCCTTTTCTGGAAGGATCACTGGTATGATGATGGCCCCCTTAAAGTACTGTACCCTGATCTCTTTGAGATTGCTGTGAACAGGAGTGCAACAGTGGCAGAATGTATGAAAAGGCAGAATGGGTGTTGTGTTTGGATCCCTCAATTCCTTGATCAGTTTGCTACAGATTTTGTATACCTCAGAAGGGAGTGGATTTTTCAGAAATCAGGTGAATTTTCTATTAAATCTTTTTTACAAGGGAGGATGCCTCTAACTTCCCAAGTGATAGGATATGGATCAGAAATGTGCAGTCTAAATTAGATTTCTTTGTTTGGTCTGCGGTTCTGGATAAAATTTTGACAAGAAACAACTTAGTCAGAAGAGGTATAGTGGTGGCGGATGAGAGTTGCATCATGTGTAATAGAAGTGTGGAAACCACGAATCATCTTTTGTTGCATTTTGAGTCCTTGTACTGGATTTGGGGAAGAATGTTGGATATGTACAGCATTAAGATGTGCTTTCTGGATGATGTGAAGGGATTCATAGGTGCCTGGTTGTTAAGGGAGTTAATCAGGGCTGGCAGAGTAGCTTGGAGCATCATCCCTACATCAGTCTTCTGGGCAATGTGGTGTGAAAGAAAAAGCAGAATTTTCGAGGGAGGCAGAGTTCAAAGAGGAGGTTCTCAGAAAAGTATCGGGCATGGGGTTCTCTTGGTTGGCAAATTACTCTGTTCATACAATTTCTTCACCTAGAACTGTTGCTAGATCGGCTCATACAATTGATCAGAAGGTTAAGTTTTTGGAGGGAAGTACTTTTTGTTTGGCTTTCTCCTCAGGACTGGATGGACCTTATTGTACGTTTTTAATTTGATAATATTAGTTATTTTATGTATAAAAAAAAATCACTCTCTGTTCAAAACAGACACATTCTTTTTTTTGATCAGGATTTTCTTTTTTTCCGGGACCAGTAAGATTTTTTTAGTGGTATTGGACTTATTGTAATTGGATCAGTTCAGTTTTCCCTTGTACAGAATTTCATTGTACAGGGGGTTATCCTTGTATCTTGTTTTGACATTTAATAAAATACTTTACCTTACAGTTTCAAAAAAAAAGGGGTCTCCACAACAATCAAAAGCTTCATGTGCCTGTAATGGTTAGCAAGATGATTGCTCGGGCAAATGCATTCAAGTAATGTGTGCAAAAAATGCTTTTGGGAAAACATATTTTCAGTGTGTCATGTAGAGGGGCTTATTAGTACAGTTAGACTTCTTTGGGTAGTTCAAAAGTATCATTGAAGATGAGATATGACCATATTTTGATGAAGAGGAAATTTAGTTGTGGGAACAATAGGCAACATTAAATGTAAAGCTACATGGGGATTTAATGTTTCCTATATCCCGGGCAAATTATTTTATTTTCAAATGTTATGAACCATCTATTTATATGTGGTTGAGGTGATAGAGGTTCCATATAATGTGACCCTACTTCCCATAGTCCTTTTGCCTCTGGCATTTTTCTTGGTTGTATGCATTCATATGAGTTGGTAAGGAATTTTAGCATTTTAATAACCTCTGATAAGTCCCATGTAGATTATACAAAAAGGACTCTTCTATCAAGATAAGAATCAAAGTATCAACGGCTTCCCCCTTAAAAGACTATTCACACCAACCCATGAGAGCAGCCTCGCTTTTAG